TGGAAATTTCAACTGGTTTTTACATGTAATGTTGTTTTATCACACAAAACATGTCCTCACTCAACAGAAACACAAAGCAAAGTCTCAGGAGACTAAAAGTGATGATGAAGACTTGGGTTTGGTGAACAACATGCAGAATCTAATGTCTCTGAATCTGATTGAAATAAATAAGTCCATGCATTAGTAAGTAACTAGTCATATGCCTTATGCCCTTGTTTAGTCAAAGATTTAGTGCTACAATTCTATTTGTCTGACCTAAAGAAGGAGATTCAGGGTCCAAAATTAATTAACCAGAAGTTCTAGTGTTCAATTTCTGTTGATTCCAGCCAGAATCCTGCGGAATTCCAGGAATCCTACTGGAATTTCAGGAATCCTACCGGAATTCCAGGATTCGAGCCGCAATCCAGGGAATCCGCGGATTCCGGTAGGAATCAGTGGAGGAATGGAAAGTATTGATAAAATGCTGGACTACAAAATTTTTGTAACCACTGATGCGAGCGACAAAAGATCAGGCGGTGTGCTCTCTTTTGGCCCAACATGGGAAACAGCCTGCCCAGTTGCCTTCAACTCCATGACGTTCAAGGGAGCCGAACTGAACTACCCAGTGCATGAAAAGGAATTACTCACTGTCATCAGAGGTTTAAAAAAGTGGCAAGTGGACTTGTTAGGCTGTCTGTTCTTTGTTTATACTGATCATAAAACACTGGAGAACTTCCTTTCGTAAAAGGATCTCTTGTGCCATCAGGCACAATGGATGGAGTTCCTATCCCAGTTTGATGCCAAGATCGTCTACATCAAGGGAGATGACAACACCATTGCAGATGCACTCTCACACCTGCCTACTGATGGTTGCAACACGTCGACAGCTGATGCCTTGGCAAGGCATCCTTATGATTTCTGCGAAGACAACGATACACTATGCAGTGTTGCCTCCATATGCCTACCCGAAGCTCAGGGACATTGGGAGACAGCAAAGTCGTTGTCTTCCTCTTGTAACCCTAAGCATAGTATCAACGCGACACTGAAAATCACTGCTGACAAAGATTTCCTCAGATCAGTTAAAGCTGGATACGCCGAAGACTCTCAGTGCAAAACCCTGCCATCAGCTGCTCTCAGCTTCTCCAACCTCATCCTCCAGGATGGACTCTGGTACATCAGTGGCCGACTGGTCATACTGCGCACCGGGAACCTTTGAGGACTCCTATTTGCGCTGGCGCATGACATCCTCGATCACTTTGGTTTTCATAAAACTTATGGCTCACTGAGAACTGCTTACTACTGGCCAAATATGTGAAGGGATTTGGAACAGGGTTATGTGGCTTCATGCCCCGAATGTCAATGTAACAAATCTTCCACAGTAAAGCCATACGGCCCATTACATCCCCTCCCTATTCCCAATCAATGAGGCGATTCAGTGGTGATCGACTTTATCGGCCCATTGCTGGAAGACAACAACAAGAACTGCATAGTTACCTTCACAGGAGTGGTACCTACCACTTTTATGATAAAACCTGGGCATTTGCCTGCACAGTCTTTTCAATCTCCCCAAGTGAAATATGAAATGAAATGCCTAGGCTATTTCATTCTTGCTTGGCAGCTATTTCATTTCTACCCACCACATTTTTCATTTCTCCTTGGCAATGAAATACATTTCATTCTTTTGCCTGTGCTTTTTCATAACTTTTTCATTCTTTGCCCACTTCAGTCACCCATTTTAGGGTACCTATGAGGTATATGAATTCTTTGATTTAAGGGTACCTCAATGGTACCCATTCCAGGGTGGTATGTGAGCACCATACCAATACCATGGTACCATGGAATGGAAAACCCATACCATATCCCACTCATACCAATACCAAGTTACCATACCATACCATGTCATGTTATACCATACCATATGGTATGATGTCACTTCATACTATCATACCAAAGCTGTCACAGGGTGACTGGGGTCCTTTTTTCAAAATATATAAATTATTTCTGTGGGCTGCAATAGTGGTCCATTGGGTGCCATTTTTTGTGGGGTGGTTCTCCAGGTTTTTCCTGAGATATTAGGCTACAAATTGAGGCCAGATAGTCCAAGCCAGTCAGTTCAAATGGGGATTATCCTAGCTTTCCCATGCATCAAAGCTGTCAGATGATACATATATCTCCCAGTCCTATCCATTAGAATACACATATAGTCTTGCCAACAACACCATCATACAATCTCAATTTTCTTAAACACTGCAATCATGGAATGAAGTATTGTTGTCCTAAATGTTTGGCCTTTTGTCATAATATTTGGTCCAATTTTATCAAAGCTGAGTGAATCTATCCAATCCCAAAGTCTTGTTAATTGGAAATGGGATCAAGTCTTGTGTTCTGAGAGTCTTCATTATCAAAATATTATACTATGGTATTGCACTCTCATACCATTGCAATCTCTAACTTANACCTTCCTGTCAACTAGTATATCCATTCATAATTGTACCATTTCTACATTCTATGAACTAACTACTAACTGTACTTATCATTTCCTACCAGGCAGCTCATTG